ACTCTATACAAGGTAAACAATACCAGTCAATTAACAAACGTTAGTGCGCCTTCATTTTCGTCTGATACTGTGCACTACTGCCGTGGTGGAATAGTTGCTCAGAGCGCCTTCAAAAGTATCGCTTAACTTCATAGAGGGGGATCGGATCGTGGTTGCCGCTGAATTGCGCAGTAACAAATTTTCTCATCACCGACGGTGATCAAAAAAGAATTCTCACCTCAATATGCAACGTTGCAAGTTTTTCAATACTTACTTCAAGGGGATAAACCATGCAATTTGAACATTTCAATACTTGCCAAGATTTTTCCGATGTAAGATGGAAACTATCATTTTAGTGTTTCATTCAAGTCTATTTGTATGCTTTGGTTAATCGAGAAAAAAGAGGTAAGAGTAGAAACCTTCAGATGAACAAAAACGGATCCGAAATTCATAACTCTTGAAGTAAACGGACCCGAAGAGTTGAAAAAGCGCCAAAACAAACCCACTGACAATCGGTGTTATTATCAGCTTGCCTTCGCGCTTTTGCGTCAATGATCTTCATGAAGTTTGATTATATTCCTCTGAGTGACAGAAAAAATAAAGGAATAAAAAAAGTAAATACATGAATAAATAAACAAGTAGTTACATCACTAAAAACATTGAAAAGCACGCAGATATCGAGCAGCTGAAACAGATGAAAGTGTGCGAAATCAATTTTTTAGCATAATTTTACTTTTTCTCTGTATTTTTTATGAACGGCGGTATTTTTTCCGCCAAAATTTCCAAAGCGCAATGCCTCCTAATTAGGTCGCATTTTACAAAGGAACTACAATTTTTGGCTGAGTTTAGAAAGAACGCACGTCCTATTAGTCTCCCTATATACATAAGCGTTTTTACTGAGGAGCTAGAGACATTGTAGTTCGTAGGTAATTGCAAATGCAGTTCAACTGTCCTCTCCGTAACGAGCTGCGAGACAAAACCTGCCGCCATTTTCATAAATTCATCTAAAAAAATTGCGACCATGCACGCATGAATCCTAAAAATAGAGGTTGCAAAGACTGTCTAGTACCATAAAACTCTCCAAGATCAGTTTTTTTCTCTTTTTTTTCTTTCTTTTTTCTTTTTTCTTTAAAAAAAAATACCGTTTTACTTGACATTTGGAGTATCGCCCAGATACACAATGCACAGAGATATCGTGGCAAAGGTACTGAAGATGGTGCCCTACCATTTCGCCATGCTAAGGAAGAACGCTGTATGAACCCTCAGGCGTTGCCACATTTCTTTTTATAAAACTCAAATTTCCTGGTGAATTTTTGAAAATTTTCCTTCCAATTTTTCAGAGAAGTTTTTTCGCAATTTTACCTAAAGGTCCTGGAAATTTCAAGGAAAAACAGTCGTAGGTAACTTTCCTCAAGAATGATCATTTTACCGGAGAAAATTTGGCAAATCTCGAATGTTCATACGGCGTTCTTACCTAGCACGGCATCATTAACCGTGAGTGGACAGATTTTTTTCATCTCTCTTCGACCAGTCGCATCCTCTCCAAAATTATTAGCGCGTCTTCATCCTTTTCGGGCTGAGTAAAAACAAAATGTGGGCAAAAAGTTATCATGAAAAGGGAGCTAAAACTTCTGGGGTTGATTGCTCTTCTGCAGTAAATCGCTCATGGGCATGGATTTTTTATCTTTTTTCGACAAGTCTCAGCTTCTCGGCAGTTATTAGCACGTTTCTAACATTCTTCGACTGGAAGGGAGAATATTGATAAAGCCTTGAAAATATCGTGAAATAGGAACTGAAAATTCCGGCGGATCGATTATTGAACCGCGTCATCGAATGACCTTGATCGATAGATAGCATTGCCAAGATGGGGATTTATTGATCAAGTTCAATCGATTGATTCAACGATCGACCCGCAGGATCAAGATGCTCCAATGGAGTTGTTGCATGTGTGAGGAATTTGCGATTTGACAAGTGATTCTTATGTAAAAGTTCGCGAGAAACACGATGGTGCCACTGGTTTTCTCTCAAATAAACTCCCAAGCTCAAAAAAAGCTCTCAAGTTGAGGCCAAAATGGAGGGGATATCCCACGCTATCCTGAGAGTCCACGTCTACATCAAGAGAAACTCTCTATGCTAAATAGGGCGCAAATACATTGACAGGGCTGCCACTTTATTTGGGGACTCTAAAACTGAAAACATGGCAACCCTGCTTAATGTATTTGCTCCCTATCTTTGCATGGAGAGTTTGTCTTGATGTAGAGGTGGACTCTGAGGATAGCGTGGGATATCCCCTCCATTTTGGCCTCAACTTGAGAGCTTTTTTTGAGCTTGGGAGTTGATTCGAGAGAAAACCAGTGGCACCATCGTGTTTCGCGCGAACTTTTACTTAAGAATCAGTAGTCAAATCGCAAATTCCTCGCACATGCAACATCTCCATTGCTCCACCGTGGTAAACCATTTTTTAATTATTTCTTTTAACCAATTAGATTTTTTTTAACCAACTGGATAATCTTTCAATTCTTTTGGAAGTAGGTACCTTGAATTATTTTTGGGCCGAACGGATTCTCTTACGGAAAATACTCATGGGATTTTTTTTATTGCAAATTAAAAATGTATTCACCACCCGCATCATTGCATAAATCGGAATCAGTCCAACTACATTGCACGTTGCTAAATTCTCTCTTATCTGTTTTCCACCCTTTCTTTTTTTGTATAACAGAATACTAAATAAAATAGTGCCTTGAGATTTCTCGAAAAAATTCCTCTAGATTTTGTAGAACGTACTTGCCAATTTTCAAGTCGGAATCTAGCCTGGTTTTATAGGTAATTTTTAAAAAAAAAAAAAAACATGATAAGAAATTAGACAACGTGAGGCACAGTACAGTTAAACTTATTTGATTTAAATCTGCTATTAAGGAATTTTTGGCTAATGTCAGTATAGTTTATAGAATGACCTACGTTTACCTAAGTTTACCTACAACTTGCAAAGTTTCAAAACTAAACGATGCAACCGCAACGCGACAAACAGCTCGATTGAACCTTTCAGCAATTGAGAAGCGCCTTCAATTTCAATTGACGCAAGACTACTAACATGCGTGGCAAACAGACATACTTTCAGAATCGTAGGCTGCGTTGCAGGAAAATAAATTGAGGGGATTGAGCCCAAATCAACTTAACTGCATTTCACGTTGGGTGACACTCGGACAGGTCGATGGACATCTTCAGCAGTTGAAAGCGCCTTCAATTTCAAGCGACGCAAGATTACTAACATGCGTGGCAAACAGACCTCCGTTAAGAATGGTAGGCTGCGTTGTAGGAAAGTGAATCGAGGGGACGGAACACGAATTAGCCTAAATGAATTTCACGTTGCCTGATTTCATTTCAGGTTTTCATTTTTTCAGCAACCAAAAACATTACGCCTTGAAACTTTTTAAGAAATTTCCATACAGTTTACAGATTGTACATACTTATTAAAAAGAAGACTAAAAAAATTGTCCATAGGTAGGTTTTCCGTTGAAATTTCACGACTTTAGTACACCTTTCACCTATGTGAGGTGGAAAATTTTAATGAACAATTATTTTCATGCCCGCATTTATCTGTGAGGACGGAAATAAATGAGTAATGCGTTCTGGGAGAGCAATAAGCCGTCTCTATTACTTGTTTTATTATTCTTTTCTTTGAAAATAGGAAAACATATCTTACCTACAACAAGGAGTGATATAGAAAAACCCGTGTAAGAGTTTTATTCACAGGAAATGCAATTGCTGAGTCTACTTTATTGTTGTGTAATCTTTGAATCTGAAAATTTGATATAACGATTGCGGCTAAAGATTTTCGTTTGCGACGTTGTAGACTTTCAGCTGAACTTTATTTTTTCCTTGGAGAACGTTAATTCTTGAAAACTTCCTTAAATTTTTTTTGACCGTTAGTAGAATATTCTGTATGTGTTTCAAGCCATAAAGTTGACTTGTTCTTCTTCGAAAAAATAAACTATGAGCCAAGATTTCGAAACACCGCAATGGAGAAACGTGGTGTCGCACTTATTAGCCATTGACAAATTGATTTGTGTGTCCGCTGAATGATAAGAAAAATAGAGGAGGAAAAAGAAGGAAAGCACGTTTTTTACGCTCGAATTACACATCTAACCCCATTCCCAGCATGAGCGTTTTGCTTCTCCCCGTCATCAAGTGGAGAGAACTTTTTTCTCGTCTCGTTTTTTGATATTTTTAACGTTTTTAAAATATGGGAAAGGAGTGTTGCGTACAATCGTCGGGCCAACCCCCCCCCCCCCCCCCCCCCCCCCCCCCCCCCCCCCCCCCCCCCCCCCCCCCCCCCCCCCCCCCCCCCCCCCCCCCCCCCCCCCCCCNGGTGGGGGGGGGGGGGGGGGGGGGGGGGGGGGGGGGGGGGGGGGGGGGGGGGGGGGGGGGGGGGGGGGGGGGGGGGGGGGGGGGGGGGGGGTTGAGGATGAGTGAAGAGTGCGATTCGACATGCGAACCATCCTTTGTTTCCGACGGAAGGAGGGGTGGACAAATCTCGGATTAAAATCGCAAGGGTGAGGCGAACGCTGCCACGTTCGCGAACGAAATGCAATCCTTCCCTCTTTCAGGGCACGGAAAACTAAGCATTTTTCCGACACGTCGGCAACGCGGAGAACAGCTGATGGGTGCGTACGTGCAACACTCGCCTGTAAACATGAGGAATCTACGGCGCAGAAAGTATGCGCAGTAGAGAGTGACCAAACTGGGTCGCATGTACACAATGTTGCCTGCACCTGGCTGACGTCATTGATAACGATAACTTATCCCTCGGAATTTTATTAGTACTTCAAGGGGTTGAAATTTCAATTATTTAATTTCAGAATTCGAGCTCAAACTTTTTTCAAATGAGAGAATAAGAACTGAAGACTTTGAAACCGTAAGTATAGAGCTTTAAGAAACTTGGTGACGTCAACTTGGATCAAAGATGCTCCGCCCATGTTGCTTATCAGTTGGCGTGTTGATGAAACTTCGTAAACAAATCGTGTGTGGTGGTGGTACTTCAGATGCCGCAAAATTTTCTCGGGATGCTGTGACAAGCGTGGTTTCTGGTGTTGATCCGTTCACAATTTTTTAATTTTGAAAACGTCTTCTTTGTGCCGTCGGTTTATTTCTCTCGTCAGTCAGTAGACCCTCGGTTTACAGTGACCCAGCGTGTCAATTTACTGCATTGCTCACTTCTCAACTACCTCACTTTCTTTTTTTTTCTCTGTGTTGTGTGTTCGAGCCTGACTATCGAAGCCTCTGAAGTCAGAACGATTCCTCTGATCCTCAAATTCTTCAATATCACATGGATGTAACAGTTTGCTTCTCTGAATTTTTTAAGCCTCTTTTAATAATTATCTGCTGAACGTAGGCTAAATATTTAGGAGTTAAGTTTTGTTTATGCAGACACTTAACAATTTATTCTACAATGTCCCTAAAAAAGTGTGTGTCTCAGTTGAGTCTCTCCGCTAGATCATTGAATTTTACTCCGTGTGTAGCCTCATCGGCTCAGCGTGGAGATCTTGCCGACAATGGGAAAGTGAGATGCCGATTCATCAGCACTGGCGGAGTATCATCATTTGTAAGGTGCCAGTCTGCATCTTCAGGGTTACAACAGGAACTTCCTGAACGTAGAATCTTGAGGTAAGCATCTTGGAATTCCCTATGACCATCTATCCGATTTCCTGGCCTTATCATTTTAAAATTGACATTTTTAATGCTGACAGAAGTCCTTCTTCCAAGTCCTTCGTATTTATTTCTACGTCAAACCATCATGTTAAACAGGAACCAATCATCGGCTGTTCACAGCTAAATCTCATACTTTCCTCAAGATTTTAGGGCCAAATCAGCTAGGTATGCAAGTAATTGTTTAACAAGAAAACTTACAAAAGTAAGCAAATTTGTGTGTAATGGAAATTTGACGCAAGCACTAGAGGAATGCCAACTGTCTTATGACTCCACTTTTTCTCTTTTCATCTTTAATTTGACACATTCTTCATTCTCTCAATCAGCCCTCTCTAACCCTAACCATGAAAAGCGGCTCCATTGTATTCAACATCGTCCCCTGTGAGATAAGATGAATTACTTTCTCGGTTTGATCACTTTGTGTTCAAGCATGAATATCAGATGTTTATTTTTAATTGCACTTCTTTTGAGGAATCCTTTTCCTGTTGAAAGCCTTTCAATCAGTTGAATCAGTTGTTTTCAAAAGGGAACAGGCGGTCCATTCCTTCATGAGTCTTAGTTAAGCATGTCCTTTCATGAAGCCAAGACTCATGCAAAAATGAACTCGTTCCGTTTGGGAAACAACTGATTCAGTTGAAAAAGAGCATATGCATTTAAATTCTTTGAACGACTGAAAGATCAAAATAAGTATGATCAAAATTTTGTTGAAACAAAATTATTTTAAAAGTAATTTGAATACCCAGCCTTCATAAAATATGCCAGTTGTAATAACAGAGTTTGAATGGTTGAAGTCAGATCCAAATTTTATAAGGTAAATGCTCTATTTAGCAACCTAGCAGAATTTGGAAGGTGAAGAGGAGAGGTGGGATGGGAGGTTGTCCCGAAGAACGCTAAAAAATTCCTCAAGTGACGTAAATGCCCTTGAGAAGTTCAAATTTCGAACACAAAGAGGGGGCATTGGAAAGTTCCCTCTGAATCTCTCTCAGGAGGGATTTTGAAGGTTTGGTTTTATATAAATGTTTTGGAACGTACCT